TGCGATTATCAAATCGCAAAGCCTGTGATTTTTTTTAACATTTTTTTTTTCTCCACACCAATCAGAAGTGCTGTGCTCCACATGTACCAGCCATTGTTAACCAATCAGAAGTGGCCCATCATAGAAGGTTGATAGACAGATTGATCCAATCACCTGCCAAGTATTTTTGAAAGTGCCTGCCCTTTCCAAATGGCTTCCAATGGAGCGTTCCTAGATGGTTTGGTGAAACAATCGCAATTACATGGTTTGGTGAAACAAACCATCTGAGTCAGGTTAGTAATGCTCATGTTTTACATCTATTACAGGGTGAATCTTAAACTGAAGCTTGACTTTAAAGAAACCCAACGGAAGTTTCATGTAAGTTTACGGGCTGCGGGGGTGCTAGAGACGGGAGCATGTTGATGCGACCTTCCTAGGCGGAGATATGGCCGCATTTTACAATAAACTTCCGTCGGGTCGCTTAAAAACAAATATCGCAAATCGAATCGCAATCGCAATATTTGTCAGAAAAATCTTCCCCAAAATCGTGCAGCCCTACTGAGCGTTATTATTTTTCAGTACTTAGAAGTGTAGTTTTGACGAAACTGCAGCAATGTAAATAAACACATTCAGATCAGACCCTGAGCTCATTAAACCATGCAGACGTGATTACATCTCTCAAACATGACTGTACCTTGTTTTGATTTCGTCTCAAATGACCTTCCTCTGACTGCACTCCTACCTTTGTACCCTGAGAGATTCCGTCTAGCATGCATGCTGTAATAAAATGTCCTGAAAAGGCCTTGCCATCTGCCATCTGCCACTTTGACCTTGATGTCCTTGGTGCCTCTGGCAACTCTGCTGCTAATTCAAACCAAAACAACTGAAATACTCACACTCTAAATGAGTCAAATGGGGCAACAGAGTTCTACCTAACAGGTCCCATGCCAATAGAATTATCTTTAATTTGCAATACTGTAACGAACCACTCAAAGGACGTAAAATAAATCTCTCCTTGAGGTTTAATGGCTCCTGTGGGAGTCTGTGAGAGCAAAATCATTGCACTTATTGTCTTCTTCTTTCTCGCTAGTGACTCTTTAAGAAAAATTACTTTTAAACCCATAAATTCTGTTTTAAACAGAAGTGGGTCGAGATATTAACAGCTATGAATGATGTCAGCTTGTCAGCAACCCTCTAATCCTTCAAATCGCTGGTGTGACTGAGAGCATGTGATGGGAATCAGGCCGGGCCTCAAATCAGTGAACTCACTCTGATCTGTCAGAGGGCAAACAAGGACTGGGTCAGTGAAGGGCTGCATATTCCCTTCAGTCTATCAAGACAGGAAGTTATAAAGTGTACAGAGGGTGTTTGAGTCACCAAACTCTAACACACAAGGAAGAAAAATAAAAGGAGTCGTACTGTTTCATTTAGAGTTGCCATTTTTAAGTTATGTTCAGCAGCCTCCCAGGGAGTATTGTATAGAAACGACTCTCTGCGACTGACTTAAAAAGGTCGTCCTCATCATTTGCTGATTAGAGAAAAGGCACACAGCTGAACAAAGCCACAGTGACACGTAATAAAGCCATCAACGCTCGACAAGGCTCCACAACATTGTGGTGCTTGCACTGGGCAGCGCTCCAGATTTCTGGTACAATTAGTCCATTTCTAACTGTGGCACTACTGAGTGTAATTGACTTTCATTACTTAGAAGTTCCATTTGGATAAAACGGCATTGATGTCAATAAAAACGCCAAGATCAGAGGCTGAGATCATTCAAATATGCGGCCGTGATGAAATCTCTAAAAACGATCCTTTCAAATTCTGCTTGATTGACCTTCCTTTGACTTCACACCTTTGTGCCTTGAGAGATGCTATCTGAAATGCCGTGCATGCTGGGAAGAAAACACCCTTCCATCTTCCAACGCCTCTTTGACCTGGATGTCCTTGGTGCCCCTGGCCAATCAGCTAGCTAGTCACACTCCAAGACAATTACTCTAACAACCTTAATTGCTGTATTAAACAGAGATGGGTTGAGTGACGTCAGCCTGTCAGCAACCTTCAAATCCTTCAAATCGCAGGTGTGACTGAGAGCATGTGATGGGAATAAGGTCTGGCCTTATATGAACTGAATAGAAACTTGATCTCTTTCTAAAAAAGAATCCCTATAATAATCTTGACAAAAACACACAATGGTCAGAGGCAAACACACCTTTACATTAATATCCTTATAATTGCAGAGAGGTATGACTGAGTTCTCACTTGTTTTACATCCGTAGTTATTTAAAGTCATGGCAACTGATGGATGCATTTTTGGAATGTCTTTTTAAGATGTTTGAGAAACTAGAAACATCCAAAACATCCAAATCTTGAAGCCTCTATTTAGATCAAAAATATACACGATATGTAAACCTGCCTGCAAATCTATCCCTATCATAGGTATGTGCAGGCTATCACCCTCTCCCCTTTGAAACTATAAAAACAGATGAATTTAACAAGTGTAATGCTGTATTTTGGGGTTATCAGAGCCCATTTCTTTGAGGGAGTCACTAACTGAAGCAGTACTGAAGATAATGCAAATCTTTAAAAGGCAAGAGTTTGAGAGAGCATTTTCTTTTAATCACTGTCTAGCCACACACTTTAGCACTATAGTTCATGGATTATGCAATCTAGATGTGCATGTTAATATAAATCAGCTACTTATGTAGGTCATGCATATTATGGCGTATGGACAATTCTCTTGATAATTGCTCTGACATTTATGTTTTAGCCATCTTTGGAAACCTCTAAACTCTTTAATTTGTCCAATTATTCAGTTTGTGGGAACAAAAATCTGCTAAACGAATCACATTACCATTAGCACCTTCTGTAAATTATACCTGCTAAAACATCAATGTGTTAGTATTTCCATTAGCTCAAAGTTTGTTCAGTACAGCTGATCTCTCTTCTTGCAAAGGGTTTCATACCAAGACTCTTCTCCTCTATAAGTTTACGAGACAAAAGTCCTTTTCAAAACGCCACCACGCGCAATAACCTCTGCTATTTCATCTCAAAAAGGCAGTCATCTCTGAGACTTGCCCATTTGTAGTTAAATGCCAGCCCCACAGAGAATACAGAGTGGTTTTTATAAAATATTCAGGGCAGTTCAAATCCATAATTCTTGGTGGGGAGCTGGTGCTTTCTTATCACAGTTATTTCCTCCGACAATAACAGGAAGGCCAGCGGGGTAAGATCTTTTCATCCTGCTGTGACCCAACGGGCCAAGTGCGAGCTCTGGAAATGAACATGTCTGCTTCCTTCCTGTGTGTTTTCGACAAACTCAGCAGCTATTGCCTACTCCCCACACGAGACGTGAGTATTCTTTCATTAGCAATTATAGTGTTTTCTCAATAGAGGCAGCAGCTGAAAAAAAGGAGAGCCTGTTATGTCTCTGACGGCTTTTGTGCCTTTTAGTGCTCCTGCCATTACAGCTGTCAGCCGCTGACTGGTTGAATTCATGCCACAGGATGCGAATATGGATCAGTATACGGCCTGAGGGTCACGTCTGAATTACTGGCCCAGTAAATGGCTACTATCAGATAAGGCTGAATTGGCTGAATGCTGATATTTTACCAAGATGGAAGGCATTCCTCTTATCCTCAGTGTTTAAACGCTTGTTTATCAGACCAGCTAAGCTCCTGTTCTATCATTCTAAAGGGCGAGTGGTGAGGTGGAAAGGCATGGGTTGTATTGTTTATGTGTTTGCCTGGTGCAATCTCAGACTCATTTGATTACCTCTGCATGGTATAGCAGAATGTGCATCAGTAAGCTTGACTGCCCAGAAACAATACACTTCAGCAACAAAGAAATTGCAATTGAGGGACAAAATCTAATTCTAATGGCACCAAATGATCAACCATTACTTCACATACAATTTGACACCAGACATACTAATTCCTGCATGATAATGTATGTTCCCACCACATAAAGTGTATTTATAGTCACCTCCTATGACCTGGAAGTGACTGGAGCTCATGCTTTACTTGGCACAGAGGAAATAGCTCTCCTTTCTCTATATTTGACAGCATCCGTTTCCTATGCAAGGCTTGTGCAATATTACATTACACCAGAGGATGCCTGTGGTCTGAATGTAAGACTGGGGATTTTTCACTTATGATCTAAAAATAGACAATTTCACAAAGAAACTACAGGGATTTAAAGTGAGCCTTCGATCCTCAAGCATGCATAAAGACCATTTCAAATGCAAAGTAAAATGTAAAATCTGCTTGAGCATGTGTGCAATATGCTGAATAAGAAACCTGAGATGAAAACAAATTATGCAAAATGTTATCCTGGACGCTTTTCAACCATATGAATGAAGTCAGAGGATGAACAAACAAGTGTTTAAGTCACATGGTACAATCCCATACCAGCCAGTAGTAAACGCTACCTGTGGTGCGTTGGGCTTAGCAACACCATCCCAGTTTATCATTAGGCAATAAATGCTGCTTGCATTTCTATATGTCTCTCCAACAAGTGCAAAAAGACAACAACTCTGTCCTGTTCAGACAACTTGCCTGGTGTGCACCTGCACATTCAAACACTGAAGTTATCCCTTATAGTACGCAGTAGATTTTCGTGCAAAAGCGCTTAAATATAGCTTCGGCTTTATGTTTACAGCAAGCTGTGACGGGATGTTATTACGGAGGAGATTACATAATAGAGATGGGAATAAAGGAGAAGCACTGTAAGTGATGTAAGGGTGTCCATTTGTCAAATAAAAGATAGTGAGTTAATTTGTCTGCGCACAAAGAACCCGCAATCATTTTTACAGAGGTAACGCTCCATTCTGCACATTCTAAGCACGATAGGCTGGATGGTTCTATTGAGCTCACATTGCCTTGAAATAGCGACCCGTAAAAACAATCTGTAGTGAATCCGAGTCCGCCACAAACACCTGGATCTACCCCGGGTTGCCAGATTCTTGCTGAAGTTTTACAAAATGTGGAGAAAAACCCCTCAGATGACAAGCACAAGCGCCTTACCTCGATCCAGAGAGAGCGGTTGGACCACTGTCGCCATGACTGCTGTTTACTGGAGACTGGAGAGACTACGGGAGCTGCAGCATCACAGAGAGAGAGAGAGAGAGAGAGAGAGAGGGAGGGAGGGAGAGGGGGAGGAAGAGGGAGAGATGAGGGGAAGCTGGGAGTGGTTGGGAGGGGGATTAATCCACCTCCATCGTCATGATATCTCACAACCTGCCATTTTTTTCATAGGAACAGCATGAACGCACTACAAAAAACGAAGAAGTCTATAGAGCACAATTCAAACCATTTAAATATTTGTTCACATGTTCAAGAAAATATATTAAATGTTGTTGAGTATTTGAGTGTGGGTCAACTATACAGATAATGGAAGGCCCACATTTGCTCAGGAGACATATTTAAAGGTCACCTATTATGCAAAATCCACATTTTCATGTCTGTTATACATAAACATGTGTCCCCTCTGTGTAAAGAGATTCTGAAAGCTTCAGGAAAAAAAATGTGTTCACTCCATTTATATAAAAACCTGTCTGAAGATGAGCTGATCAGATTTTGGCCACTTTATGATGTCATAACGATTTTTTGGCTGCAGTAACCATAACCAACCAAGGTAACCCCCCACCTTATCACCTGAATCTCCAGAGCACCATTGTGTTCTTTTTAACCAAATATCTCTCAGAGGGGCGTGGGGAGTGGCTCCTTATTTTCATCTAAAGTAACAGACAGAGAATCAGCACTTTTGAAACAGGGCTGAAACAGAGGGGATTATGGGATGCTACAATGATCTGTTTGGTGTTTCGAGCCAAACTCTTCAGAGACATGTTTTTATATATCTGAGACCTATAATATATTGATGAGACACAGTATAATAGGGGACCTTTAAAACATGGCCAGAAGTGTGATGACACTTTTACAAGAATGTGGACTCCCGAGCAAGTTGCACGTTTTTTTTAATATGCACAACAATTACAGTGAAGCAGTCTTTGGCTAGGAACATCTTGGATCCCAGGCTCCCTCCAACAATGCTAATGAATATGTATAAAACCTCAAAAGTGAAACCCAATGAGCAGTACTCCCACATGTGTTTGCTGAACATCTTGTTAAAAATCCTGGACATTATTATGCTGCTATTAAAGCCTACACTCTTCATTTTTCAGGTCCTCCATGAAATCTATCTGCAGGAAGTTGCCTGCATTCGAACATGTCCTCTAAGTATGCAGATATGTGGACCACATGCTTGGCCATATGTCATAAATCACAGCTGCATTCAGGACAGCTTATCTTTTATATTAAACCTGACTTAATAAACAAGTCAGTCATCTCTCATTTTAACAGCTACATGTATTACAATATGCGGCGGCATCACCATTCAGAGGAGTCTACCAGTGCCCTCATGCTGAATTTCTAAATGATGTGTCTCTGTTTTTGCATGTGTAAATGCTTAGGCACATATGATGCACATCCATTGCACTTCAGAGATCAGTTGATTGCAACCAGGCTTGCCTTAAAGGTTTATTATGAACCGCTGAGCCATGGCACTGTTATCTCCTCTCTTGGCTACATGCACTGCATGCAGCCCGATAAGGATTGAATGATGGTAGTGAACCTTTGTTGAAGGGCTTAAGGATTAATTCTCATGTTTATGTGCTACCACCGAACGGAGCCAAACTACTGACTCCCTTCATCTACTGTAGATCTGCTGCGTAATGGTGCCTGCTGCTGTGATATTTTTCATACCTGGCCAGTCATTGAACTCGACAGAAGCAGTGCACAAAAACAAGTCACAAATTGCTGGTTAAGGATGGATGACGAGTCATGTTGCTGGCATGAAGCTGTAAACTCAAACCTGACAACCAACATTTAGGCTTCCATGTGCACATCTGTTCAGAGCAAAATCCAAACAGACACTGAAATTATCTGAATTAAATTATCTTGCTTGCAGCACTTTTTCCTAGACCCATTTGAGAAGCAATTACCTCACTCACAACCTCACTTTACTTCAAATTGGCAGCCATTAAATAAGTCCAAGGATGACATTTTAAAAATCTCATGTCGATGTAATTCTGTGGATTCCATTTTCATCAATTTTAAGCATTTCAGGCATCATAATCTCGGTTTTTGATTGAAACTGCAACAAAACCTAATCACACAGTCCATATGTGCCCGTGAATTCCTGCCACCCTCAGTCCCACCCTGCTGCATACAGATGTGAACTGGTGGTTAATGGTGGGCTGGATGGAGAAGGACAGGGTTTAGAGAGCGCACGGAAAGAGGGCACGGAGAGATTACAGGCCCCCACCCATATGGGCTGGAATACAGTACTGCTTTTTTTTTTTAAAGAGGTGGGATTACGCAGCAGTGCTCTTAAAGCCCTTTAACAGCGAGTGAATTGATTTCTGAAAAGGTTTTCACTCCCACGGAGGACAAGAGGCCATGTAGACAAGGCAAATAAAGACACCTGTACTGCAGAATGTTTACCTATCACATAAAACCTCAGGAAGTCAGTATCAGCATGTTTGCAGGCATGAGCACACTTTTGCAAAATTAAATTAAACACGTCATTAAAGAAATACTTTTGCGACATATTCTTAGAAAAACAAAGCATTTTTATTTTGGTGGGACCTATCTCTTCAACATAATGTTTGTTTAATCCATACAAAAACCATTCAAAAGAAGTCTGGTTTTAAAAAGTGTGGTTTTAAGAAGGGGTCATGTGCCAGATTATTTCTTGGCCTGATCCTGTTCTTATCCAAAAGGAACATTGGGTCGTGAATTTTGACAACCATTGACTCTAATCCCTGTGCAGCATGACGGTGATCATGTCTCACTAGTAAAAAGAGATGAGAATATCCTGTTTGCTTGACAACATCTCAAGTATGAAGTATTAATGTGTTTTGTTTGTGTTTAGGTTTTGCTGCATGATGTGACAGGTTGCTTTCCCACTGCTGCTCTGCTGTTTATTACCAAGCTCCATCAGGCAGCTTCTGACGGACAACGAAAGCAGATCGTAATGTGAACATGTGGGAGGTATACTGATAGAAATCTTAAAAGTGTTATATATTTTCCAACAAGACATAGTGAAACAACAAACATTTTTTTTCCTTTATATTTTAGAGGGACAACTGAAGGAAGTGGCTCCATAATGATATTCTCTCACTTCTCAAGGCTGGTTGTGGACCTTTCATTATTTGTAACTGGAGCAACTTTGGGATTAAATGCCTAGCTCAAAGGTACCTTGAGATGTACAAAACGGAAATCCTGCAGCACTGATTTCCACACATCATAAATTTGTCATGGGATTTGAACCTCTAACACAAATGTCCTCTAACCATTAGAGACTACTGACGCCCCCTTCAGGGAATCAGATCCCATCACTTTGTCAAAAGGAAATAATACACGACATAAAAGTAATGAAATCGCACATTAAATCACTTTGTTTCATTCACCAGCTGATTTAACATCTTTTCATTTTAGAAGAAAGATTATGGGAGTATATTGTCCCTCCCGTCACATTATTACAAAGCATGGCATGAGTAAGATCATGCTCTACTGCTGTTTATTTGTCATTTTAGCTGCTCATAAACTGACATTTAAATATATTAAGATATCAAGAGCTACTGCCACACACCCTAGATGTATAAATGCTCAAATATTGGTCTTGTACTTTTAAAGCTATTCATATATTCATCATCTGCTTTGACTGGCACTAAATAAGGTAATAGCAAATGAGCATGTGTCCCTAGTATTTTGCATGTTTAATTTTATGCAACTTCCCTCAGCTGTAATAATGTGTAATTATGTATCGGTTTTTCTAGATTATGAATGATGTTGTTGGAAGTTATTCCCAAGCCTTTTTGCCAACTGCTGCATCTAAAAGCCATTGGATATGGAAAATGGCAATCATTATCTTCACACTATTTCAATTATAAATCCATATTCAGACTCAGGGGGGGGAAAAAAAACACAGCTTGGAGATTAATCATTTGTAGATAAACTCTGGGAATTCGCCCCTAACTTTTTCTGAAGGGCGTCCAACTGATTTCTGCTTGAAAAGATTCACACTCATTACATCAAATCAGAGAAAAGGGCGAGATGGAGGGGCCATAATGAGCCATGTTGGACTCCGATTTAGTCCTGATTGGCCTTTGCAAGCAGCGATTAGTAGTTCTCTCGGTGCCATGAGTATAAGAATGATATGTATTCTGCCAATAGCATCTGCACTGTTATGAAAAGAGTTATGGCAGCGCCTGGGGGAGTGATTTAGAGAGACCTTTTGGCCACACAAATTACAGCATGAGGAGAAGGGAGGCATCCTTTCCCTGCCAATGTTTTGATTGCAGTTATACATGAATATAGATTGTAGCATACATGCTCTGTTGAAATGTGATGAGATTTAAATCAATATTACAGTCAAAAATAACAACCACAGGTTTATCATATACAAAAAGCCAATAAAACCAGGAAGTGTTAGGATAACACATTTTTATGTAAACAAAAGGATATAATTCAAGGTAGGTTGTACAGTTACATTTAAATCTAGTGAAATATGTTAGCAGCTAATACTCCAATTTTTCCTGGAAGGAGCATGCTGCTTCAAGAACTTTGTATGTATAAATAGAAACAGATGACCTGAAATATCAGATGGATGATTTACTCATTGGACACCAGTATGAAGGGGTCATAGTCAGGGGGAGTCAGCTGTATTATGGGTATTTACCAGAAGCTTGGATGATGCCAGTGACAAAATAAATGTACTCACCAGCATCTGAGAGTACGCCGTGACAGGACTGCACTGCTGTTGTGATGTAACCAGAACAAGTGACTCAGCTTAACGAAAGATTTGTTATAATTTGACTCCTGACTCCTCCTAAATGTCCTCAAACAAGCCCCTTCATCCATCCCTTGATCAGTTTAAGCACCGATATTTGCATTCTTAACAGTAAGAGGGGTTATTGATGCCACCCTGAGGAACCTAAGAGTTTAATGCTGCAGCTAGCAAACAAAGATTTGCATTGAATATGAGCTCAAGCTGTTCACAAATAATTATCAATGATGTATTCTTGATTTGCATAACAAAATACATGCCACAGGCTAATAGCTATTCCTGAAA